ATAATTCTACGTGCGCGGATCACCTAAAGATACGGTTTTCTGTACAGTGGTGAACGAAAGAAAATTTCGAAGGCTAACTGAAGATAATTCGTAATTTTATAAAATGGAATCACTATTTAATAGAAGCAATAAATAGATCCCAGAATAAGTAACTGTCACTAATGTTGAGAAAAGAATATCTAAAATTACCGATTCCCGTGCCAAATTTCTATTTTAAACTTTCTTTCGATCGTCATTGTACGAGCGCCACACCTAAAAATATTACATGTTTTTCGTCTATCGCCGATTTGGTTATCGAAATTCGTTCAATGATTTGATCGTGCTTCGAGATTTCTCGTATACAATTATCATATAATAATTATAGATATTAAAACAATCGTTATGATCGTGATTTAAACTCTAATTAATAAATTCTGATCGTTGATTGAAAGGTCTACAGTATTTAAAATATTCTTAAATTTTTGTACGATTTCATTAGCTGATTTCCATATTAATTTGAATATTGATTACCCGGTTTCTTTTTCATCTTGTTTAATTCGTTGATAAATTGAAATCATTGATTTCTAGCTTTTTAATTCTATTCGTAACATAGTTACACAACACCTCTAGAAAATTGAGAGACACTTACGAACCTTATCGTAATAATAAACGTTTCCCAAATTGTTTTTTTTTTTTAGCAGTAAATAACACTATTAACTACTAAATTGTTGAAAAACATGACAATTACAACGAAACTTGTGGAGGTTTCGTAACGATGGAACAATGCAACATGACTATAATTTAACAAAGCGTAACGATGTGACGATTAATGCGATAATTAAGAATGACATAATCGTAACTACAGTGTTTCAAGCTGACAAATGTAAATCATGTTCCTTAAAAAAAAAAGAGAGAGAGAGAGAAATTCAAAGATTGTATAAATCTATATTGTGAATTCTCAATATAAATAGCGATGATGAGTTTGTTGATGGATTCGTATTCGTTCAGCTCAATTAATGAAACACATAAACCGGTAACTACATGCGCAATTAGTATAGAAATTAATCACAGTGTCTAATAACAATATTATTGACGATTAACAATATTTTAAGTGACAAACGATAAAAAGAATAAATTTGCTATACCAAAGAAAATTATAACAAACTAGTAAAAAATAAAATACTCGGAAGATTTTTATGTGGAACGACTCTTCCTTGTTACGTGTTTTTTGAAATAACATCTTTCATTCTCAATTCTTTTATTCTGTACGCGATTCGTGAGAACAACACGACCTACGATAACAAGAAATAAAAATAGTCGGCAATATTTAATTGCGCTCTTCTAGCATCCTACTTCCTCTCATTTGACGTACGTGATGTAACGCGCGGTCTTCGAGTGCTCAATAGTAATTAGAAGGATGCGTTGAATTCTACGGAAAGTCGCCTACAACTGGTAGATTAATGGACTGGCAGCGCAAGGTCGATGATTATTTATTAAAAAATTGGCTTTTAATTTGAGTGCTCGTATTTCATGTCGCACGGACAGTTGCTATTTTTCACGTTTCCATCTTTCCACGAAATATTTAAATATTTAATATCCACTTTATTAATATCGTTATGGTCCTTCAAACATTTAAATATTCAACATTTAGATTCGAAATTTTCGAACGACTCACACGACAGACGTACGAAGTATTATAATGGATTACACCAATGGACTAATGTGAATTGAAGCGTAGCCAGAAATTTCATTTAGAATTGTTTAGATATAACAATACGACAGGCAGTAGAATTTAATTATGCAAATTTCAATTTCCAAAGTACGACAGATGATTCTCGAAACTGATAGAATCCAGAATCTAATTTAACAAATTGAATTATTACTCACTCAGACGGATGTTCACGCGATTATTGGTATATATCACTTACCTGTAACAAAAACATAAGTAAATTTATAAATACTAGATAAATATTAAAACGGTATTAATAATTGTACGTTGAATCAATATAATCATAAATTATTAATTCGACAGATATTAATTCAGTAGAAAGTTTTATTACAAGTATTATTATCATTTAAATTATTAAACACGTACATACAGATACAAATGAATGACAAACAATGAAGTAAACTATTCTAAATCAATGCTTAATTTTAAGATCATACGCAAAGATATTTCATAATATATATCAGATATATACAGATATGGGATGATATTATACAAGTACATTTATTATTAAATATATATTATCTATTAGATATTATAAAAATATCTAATAGATAAATTATTAAATTATCTATATATTATCTATTAGATATTATAAAAGTACATTTATTATTAAATATATATTATTTATTAATTAAATATATATTATCTATTAATAAAAACAGTACTTTTAAAAGAATTGTATATAGATAACAACTGATATCAGGATATTATCTTTCGAGATATATTTCATGAATATAATTTCAAGAAAGTAGAAGATTTCGTAATATTGGAACTTATCAGTGGTATTGTAAAATACCACTGATAAGTTTCAATCACATTGCTTGCGTTTAATTATATAATGGAAAGTATGTGGACATTTATATATTTTTATATTATTATATTATTATTATTATTCCTCGTAACTAATATAATTGAACCATTTAATATTAAATTAAACTGAACAATAGAATTATTCGAAATAAATCTCTTAAATAAATAAATGTTTTATCTGGTCAAAAAGCGAATAAAGAGTTAGTCCTTTGAGGCATGCTGTTATAAATAATGTCTCAATTCTGCAGTGTCACGTCATTTATACTACACATAAACAACGAAGTTTTGTATTCCAAATAATTATGACTTTCTTTCTAGCACATTTTGTGAATAAAACAATTTCTGTGCACGGTCTTAAAATGCCCTGCATCAAATGTGCTATTAGACATACATAAATCAGAAAAAGATACAATTGTTTTTTTTTTTTTTTTAGTGCAGAACTAGGTTTCAATAAAAGATTTTTTACATCATTCTTCTAACAATTATAAAAATTAAGAAAATATGATTTGAGTTAGTAAATATTTGATACATCCGTTCGTATGATATGCATTATATGCACATATTTTTCACACTCTAAAATTCTCTACAAATACATAAAAACTTATAGTCTTTAAATATGTAAACCAAGAGACAGAAATATCCTTTATTTTAATTCGAATTTTAATATTAAATATGCGTGTTTGTTATATATTAAATTATATTAAGTTATTAATCAAATAAAAATTAATGACAATATTTATACTATATCACGTATATCGTGTCGTACAATTAAATTGTTTTTGCTTTTCTGACAGGTATTGAGAGCAAGCTTCAATACCTCAAAGATACTGGAATAACAGCGATCTGGCTGTCACCGATCAATAAAAGCCCAATGGTAGACTTCGGATATGATATATCGGACTTCAGAGATGTCGATCCAACATTCGGCACCTTAAATGATCTCGAAAATCTTTTGTCTAAAGCTCGCCAACTCGGAATAAAGGTAAAGCGAACTTCTCGTAATGACAATAAATTTTCACTGTCGATCTCTTCGTCTTTTGAAAAAAATTGTCAATACTCTAAGCTCCCATAATACTTCGTCATTGTAATTAGAATTTTCAATCCTTCCAATTAATTCGGAGTTCAAGATTAATTTTAGAAATAATAAATGACGCGCTGCTGTTAACTGCTCCGATCGTTGACTTCATTTTGGGATTTGATATTGCTGCAGAATCGCGAGTAATCGTGAAAAGTATGGAATATAAGTGTATTTTATTTTCCAGGTTATCTTAGATCTCGTCCCTAATCACACTTCTGACCAGCATGACTGGTTCAAACAAAGCGTCAAAAATGACACAAAATATGCAGATTATTATATATGGAAGACTATGGAAGTAGGAAAACTACCAAACAATTGGGTCAGCGTGTTTAATAATTCAGCATGGACGTATCACACCGAAAGGAAACAATACTATTTCCATCAGTTCTTTCGACAACAGCCAGACTTGAACTATAGAAATCCATTGGTACAGCAAGAGATGAAGGTATTGTTTCAATTATCGATTTCAATCGGTATAATTATAAACGATAACGAGAACTACATACAGTTTCACTTGCATCGTTGAATGCAAGCAGGGCCTCATTGATGAACGAGAATAAAAAAATATTTCATATTTTGCGTAATGAAGGTGCAAGGAAGAAGAAAAGTTTAATAAAGCAATAAAGAATTATCTGATTCTTAATCGTTATTTAATTAAAAATTACCAATTGGGCAATTCTGATACTAAACATTTCTTACATGTGATGCAGTTACTACAAAATTGTTCGTTTTGTTTTTGCAGTTTCATCAACGAAATTGAAGTTATATAATGTATATTAACAAATGAAACAAATTTGAATCACAGTCCCGTGAGGTGCTTATTGCATAAAATGACGACGTAAGGGAAATAATACAGTTCTTCAACATTACTCTATTATTCATATTATTAACTGTTATTAACTGTTATTCATTGGCGATTTACATTATACTAAATATCATATTGTTATATTATATCAAATATCAGCGATAATTTATCACAACCTGCCAAATACTTGAATCTCTCGAGACGATGTGAGAAGACATAGTAATGAGAGAAAAGTATCGAGCGAATACTTGCAATTACCCTTTTTATCTTGAATATTAAAAGATTCTGACGATTAAAATAATATTAAAATATTAAAATATTAAATATTAAAATATTAAAATATTAAAATAATATTAAAACGATACAAATGTTAACCACCAACGCATTCATCTTAATGAAATTTTTTGAGAATTTCCGAGAACGCTCGTTCGAAGTATAACGAAACGACGAAGTTAATTAATTAAAACGTTTTGCTTCTATTTCCGTCTCAAAGTCGATTCGTTGGTTTAACCTATCTTTTGATTAATTGCTTATAACGTAACGCACGATCTTGCAGGACATAATAGGATTTTGGTTGGACAAAGGAATCGACGGATTCCGCATAGACGCAGTACCACATTTGTTCGAGACGGAGAACGTAACGCTCAACGAGCCGAAGCTTCCAAACGCCAGCAACAATCTGAACGAAAGTCACTACGCGTATTACGATCACATATATACAAAGGACCAGCCCGAGACTTACGATTTGGTGCAATCGTGGCGGGAGTACGTGGACAATTACGCGAATAAACATAATCGCGACGAAATAGTAAGTGAAAGCACGCGCAGTTTGCGAAACAATTCCGCACGTTTCGATGGTAATTCTATTTTTACAGAGATTTTCACAAATTTACAAATTCAGCCAGCAATCCGTCGAGTTCTATCCCTCCGAACGTAATTCATCCCTTCGACGAGAGAATTCAGAGAATATTTCTAAACCAAATCGAGTTCTACGGGCATTTTTTGTAGAACAACATTTAGAGAAAATTTCAAATACTTGATTAATAAATAAATATTGATAAATATATTTAGGGCAGGTTCGAAGCTCAAAGTTTAAATATAATATAAACAAAGTTGTGTATCTATTCGACAATTATAAACAAAGAATTCTGCCCTACACCAGAACAACTGTTTGAATTTGCATAAAAACCTTCGATCTCAAATTATCTGCCCGAGGTTTTCTTTCCAAGACTTTAAATATGTCAACGTTACGACGAAATGATTTCATGTTACAGGTACTATTGACGGAGGCATACACTTCTTTAAACAACACGATCAAGTATTACGACTTCGGTTCACACGTTCCATTCAATTTCAAATTTATCATAGACGTCAACGCGAATTCCAACACCACTGACTTTGCCAACATTGTCAACAATTGGTTGAAATATATGCCGAATGATGGCGTTCCAAACTGGGTGGTAAGTTTCTAATTAGATCGTGTAAAAAAAAAAATCTTTGTTAAAATTTCACGCTCGTTTCGTGAAAATTAAATAAAAATAAAATTGTTTCGAAGCACTGAAAGGCAAGTAGTTCAAAAACGAAGTTCACAGAGCAATATGTGTGTCTGACAAATGTAAAAAAATTATATTGTAAATTATATTCACTTTCAGCATTGTAAAACGAATCCTCGAACTTTGAGCGCGACTAACCTTTGAGTTAAATTTTCCTTCTCAGTTCAAATCAGCCGAATCAATTCATTCCAGAATCTCGAAATTCATTCGAACCGAAATGTTTTTAAGTTTAACGAAAACTTGAACAAGTATATTTAATTTTCACCGAGTTTGAGCTGATCGGAAAATAACAAACAAAATTTGATCTTCGAGTTTCGAATTGTTTTCGAAGCTCGAGGGTATTGAAAAAATACTCAAGTCACTTGTTAGTTGTTTTAATTTGATTATTATCTGGAAATTACGCGCCAGTACGTTCCATTGCAACGAAATTTAATATATTTAAGAGAAATAATATTATCGTAGATGGGGAACCACGATCGAGTTCGTGTTGGCACACGTTATCCTGGCAGGGCTGACCAATTGATAATGCTGGAAATGATTCTTCCCGGAATCGCGGTCACTTACTATGGAGAAGAAATCGGCATGGAGGATAACTCTACCTTGTATGTCTACGATGTTCGTGACGGCTGTCGAACACCATTCCAGTGGGACGGCACTGTCAACGCAGGTGAATGAAAATTTCAATCTGCATCTCAAGAACGAGAAAAAAACTAAATAATTAACCGATTGAAAATTCACTGTCTTAAGTGTGTTAACTCTTTCACCGCGATATTTTATATTTCTAAAAATTATTAGTCACACGAGTGACTAATAATTTTTAGTTTCCCATCCGTTACTCGTACAATGGAAAATGGAACGAGAAAAAGGAAATGTCGTGGATGTGACAATCTATAGCGTAGAGAATACTTCGGTCGAAATTAGTAAAACTCATATAGTACAGTCAATGTCCATGACAAATGGTAAACTCGATATTTCTGTTTGTAGGTTTCAGTAGTAGTACTAATGGAACATGGTTACCCGTCCATAGTGGCTACAAAATAAATAATCTAGAACGACAGAAAAATATTACTGATTCTCATTACAATCTTTACAAAAGCTTGCTCCAACTGCGAAAAAAAGATGTGTTGACCCAGGGTACACTCAAAGTGGACACCTCTACGAAAAACGTGTTATTCGTCTCGCGAAAGTACGAAAGTACCAACGAAATCGTAGCACTTTTGCTCAACTTTTCTCCAAACGAAACTAACGTGAACCTGTCGAAATTATTGCCCGAGGAAGGATATAAGGTGCTGCTCGCCAACGTGAACTCCACATTGAGACCAAAGTAAGTGAGAGAAATTTTATTCATATATTATTCGTATATTCGTATATTCCACTCGTTATATTCTTGAATTTCATTCATACATTCTCTAATTCTACAATTCAGTACTCAAATCGAATTCAATTCGTGTATTGTAATTAAGACTCGGAGTCATTTTGAAAAATAAACGAAAGAAATTGCTCGATCAAACATTAGAATCATTCTGAATAAATTTAAGCCTAATTAATTTTCATTCATTAGAAATATCTTATTCTTAATTTATTAAAAATATTCTTATTTCTTAGAAATATCTATTCAAACGAGCGATTCGAATTAATTTATTCGAGTTCTTGAAACTTAATAGCGACAGCTCCTTTCATTTGCAAAAATTCAAGTTTCATTGCAACAGTAATAACCTGATGATAATTAACTTTTCAGCACTGTCGTTCGTTCGTCGAGCATCAACGTTCCCGGTTATGGTTCCCTGGTTTTGGTATCCGGTGCTAATGCTGTAACCTACTCAATCCTAAGTCTTTTACTCATAGTGTTTGTTTCTCTCGTTCGGTGGTAAAAAAAAAATAAATAAATAAATAGCTGAATAAATAAATAAAATAATAAAGAACTGATTGCTCCGGTTCTTCTTTCTACATATTCGTGATGCAAGTGTGAAAGTATGTGTAGAACACGGACATAAATGTGATACTTGTTGCAATACGCGTGTGCACTTCAGATAATAATAATTATTGTAATATTACACAATACATGTTATTTATATCATGTCATGCGAAATACAAATAAATATTTGAACAACAGTTAGCTACGACGTATTGTATTACTGTCTCTGAATAATGTAATCAGAGATCGAATACCGATTTATTCTTCGATATATTTTAATACCGATATTTGAGCTAGTAATAATGTAATATATTTTATATTAGCTCGATATATTTTAATACCGATATTTGAGCTAGTAATAATGTAATATAACCGCTTTCTGATCGATCCTATTATTAATACTGGTATCGCGCTACTTTCATACTTTCTACCGCTACTTGGCTGGATAAATACTGAAATTTATACCCAAGTAAATTTATCCTCATATTACAAGGAAGAACGTATTTATTAATGCAACGTAATATACAGTATTAAATAAAACTAATGTTATGATAAATATGCATGTATATAATGCGAAATTCTGAAGATACGTAATTTGAACAAAATTAATACTAAAGTATAACTATGTAGAACAACAGGAACGAGATTGTAACTGTAGGATAACTAGAACAGAAGTTGTAGAAGAATTTTGTAGAACAACTTGAACAAAATTTATGATGTATTCGACTGAATTTGCCTAAGAGCACTGTCCGTCACCGAACGTCGCGCAATACTGAATTTTCCAACAAGATCGATGTACTACGAACTTCGAAGTTTGTATATAGTCTTTATTCGCAGCAGGAATTCCAGGAACTCGCGAGAGCAAGAAATTGGTATGAACTAACTTGTTGGATAAGTGGCTGTCACTGTTTATTATCGACAGCCAAATATAACCTTACAATTTCGCCATTCACAACATAAGTCCGATTCTGATTCAATTGAAGTACAATTTTATTGAATTTGTGTTTCTTTATCCTATAAAATTTTATATATATATATATAT